TACCAATTATCATCTGTAATTATACATCAGTCAATGCAGAATACTACTTTTGTTTTTGATAATCTCTATATCGATACAAATTCAAACATTTACGTTTTAAAATATATATGTCACGGCGTTACTTTAGTTTAATGGCTTTCCTGAGCGACCATAGCTCATTTTCAGAAATTATTTTTTACCAATGTGTAGATCGTAACCTCTTCTACAAACTTTATCTTACCAAGTTTTTTCCCTTCGAAGAATTCGCAGAAAAGCAGACATCAAACTGACTGTCTTAAAAAAAAGGGTCGTGTTTTGGCATCGGCGTTACCGTCTGAAAAACTGTTCTGTAGCGCGCAGATGTAAATGGATTTTCCTTGTATTTTCAGCATAGATGCAGAATTCAGAGCTGCATAAAATGATGGTAAAGTGAACCCTGTAGCTATTATAGCTTTTTCAAAAAAAGACCCTTCTTAGTTTCTGAAATATTAGACTGCCAACTTCGGTCTATACCGATACCGAAAATACCGAAGCTGGCAGTCTAATATTTCAGAATATTTTAGAAGGGTCTTTTTTTGAAAAAATAGATGAATACATAGTACAACGGGTACACTTCAAGATAGCTCAAAAAGTGGAAATAGTTACGGTTTAATTATTTTGATTTTAATTTCCGATGTTGGCAGAACATGGACTAAATTCATAGTGAGTTTAGTCTTCTTCTGAAAATGGAATAAATGATGTCGCAATACAATTAACCTCTCGATAAAAATAAAATAAAAGCTTTTCCTTTTCTTACTCGTGTCATTCTATTATTTGCAATACATGAAAGTAAAATAGAATGAAGAAAAGTTCAAAGAGAAAGAACAATAAAACAGAGACTGTGATTTTTAAAGTACACTACAGCTAATTTTTGGTCATAATCTTTGTATTTTATTGAAAATAGAATTAATTAGTTCGTACTTTTTTTTTCAACAATGCTGTACTCATGATATTTTAAAATTGGGGAAAACTCCAGAGTTCTACTGCCGTAAGACTATAAACCAGATGGAGGAAATTTATATTGTCGATAACATTCTAAAAACTTAGCAGCCTACAAAAAAAACATTTTATAAACTTGTTATGTGATACACATAGTGTAACTTTTCTGTACAGAACTTTAATTTTTTATATATTTTATACTATTTTTATACATATTTCTGTCTATTAACTCAAATTTGACAGAATATTTCTAGAGAAGCGATTCTACTTTTTGGACTAAATTGTCCAAAAGTAAACTCTGAGATGTTCTTATCCCCATCTTATGCATTGCTATAGTGTGTTCTAACCTCACTGCTCAACTCACATAGCTTATATCCGGAACATTCCTCGAGATTTTTCACTTCAATTTCTCCAAAAATTTAAAACAAAGTAGACAAAAATCAAAACCTTTCTAACGCATCCCTTGAACCACCATATTTTTGAAATACTGAAACATTCCAAATTAATACTGTTATAAGTTTTGATCTATCCTAATCATTGTGATAGTAGTATAAAGGACGAAGAATAAAACGAAGAACAGAATGAGAGAAATTTACAAGATAACTATGCAATATGAAAGAAAGTTGTTTTTTCTTTTTTTCTGTTCTCAAAGTTGAAGCAAAACCAAAGAGAAATATGCGAGCGATGGGATTCGAACCCATGCCATAAATGACTAGTACCTGAAACTAGCGCCTTAGACCACTCGGGAGTTTATTCGTGAACTATCTCATTCAATCCTTTTCTCCATTTTTCTAGCATTTATAACCGATAATATGTGGTAGTTTTCTATATGATGCAATTTTTGTGCTTTCTAGGGCCACGCTCGCTGAGATTTTTTCTGTTAAATACGTCACATCTACGAATTCTATAGCGAGCAAAATAGCAAAAAGCTGAATTATTTTAAAAATCTTTTGACAGAAAAGATTATTTTGAAAATTCTTTTTGTACTCATCCACTTTTTCATGTCCATGTGTATATGGGTTAATTCAATCGTGACAGTTGGAGGGATCAAACATTTGAATGTTATTAATCTTGTAAGCTTATTTTTATCGTTTAGGCGTTCCTTTATATCACATGTAAATGTTGAACAATAATTTAAGCCTTTGGCAAGATCAGGTAGAGCTTTAGAATAATAGCCCGTATTATTCGCATTTAACTGTAATCATTTGTTTTGCAACTCAGGTTAAATGATATTTCATTGGTAAACGAAAAAAAAATAATTTTGGTGAAACGAGCCCTAGCCCTATAGATCGATTCTTACAAAAGAATCGGACAGGAATCTGATAAGAAACTTATGAGAATCGGATATGACTAGTTAGAAATCCTGTAAGAACCCAACAAAGAAAAAGGCAAGGACTGACAAAAACTTCCAATATGTTTTTTCCTTCTTTAGCGAGGTGTATAGTTCATTAGTGAGTGTGTAGTAGGTCGAAAGGCATTCTCAATACGACCAGTCTTACCCACCTCGAAGAAAATTTGAAAAAATTTGGACGAAATCAGTGGTACTTCCCAGTGGATGTTTTTGATGTCAAAAACTTCTTTTGAACTAGTTAACTATTTTGTTCGTGTTTCACCATTTTTTAACGCATTTAATAGCAGGAAATATTGATAAGTTCGCACGCATAATTGACTTTAAAAAAGTCTCTAACGCATTTAGTTACGTTAAATTTTGTATAGCAAAAGTAAACGAAAAAGTTCACGTCTACTAAAAGTCGTTAATGCGTTAGAACGAATTAAAATTGATAGTTTAATGCGTCAGCCTAGAGAGAAAACGCGTTTTAGTCTCATATTTATAAGTTTTTAAGGCATTTCTTGCGTTAAAACCAAAAAGGTTTTTAATAATTTCTAACTTTAGTGCGCTAAAAATTCAAGTGCTTTTTAAAGTGTTCAATTTTTTATACATTCAAACGCATTAAATCGGTTTAATTCATGAAAATACGTTAAATTTTAACGAATTTGAATGCATTCATACATAAAAATAAAAGAGTCTCTGAAGAATTTCATTCATTCATTAAGGAAGTGATAAGAGCGTCTTATAAAAGTCATAGCTCATTCATATTTAAATCTTACGTGATTATTATCGGATTCGTACGAAATTCTTGCCGTTTTCATGCGGTCCACTTATGTGAGAATATGTTATTATGTGTCTCATCTTATGTAAGAAAAATGTTTGTCTAGGGAGTTAGTTTTCATTCTATGATAAGATTTGTTAAGTCTCCATATTAACTGTTTACTTGAACTTTGAAAACTGATGTGTGTATTCTGTTAATTTGAATATGACAACACTGAATATTAATGATCATATTATTAGTTTTGTTGTGGAACATAGCCTCAAAAGTATACTGATTGATACTGTGAAAAGTTACTGTGGTAATGTTCGATAGTTGGAAGTGTCTACATTGTCTATCGACATCGCAACTTGTGCGTAGCACAATTGCATTCTAGTTACAATATTGGTATTGAAACTATTATTCAGTACTTTATTTCTAAACTTTGTATTTTCAATCTAGTAGCTAAATATTAAATACAAGATGTTTATTGATGTCCGTTATTTGTTTTAACTACTTAATACTAATTATATGAGGTCATTTTAGCACTATTTTTCAATTGGAAATTATATTCAGTGGTTAACATTTTTATAGCTAATGTTGCTGTGTGCTCCTTATTCGCTTTTTCTACCGTAGATTATAAAGCAAAAGTTTGCAGTTACGCGTTCTTTGACAGCCTCAGATTATCTTTGTGTCCATTCCTGTTGCAAAAGTTAAATACTGTTCTGTTTGTTCATTAACTGCTACCATAACCAATGTTGTTTGTAAACAGAAGGGTGTCGATAGCGACATTTCACATCAATCACTTTTTTTATTTTCTGACTAGAATAGAGTCAAATGACAAAAGATGCCATTACAGTTCAAGAGATTTAGAGAACACTAAATAGACTTTAATCAATGAATACAAACACACATTAATCTCCAATTGTCATTTAGGACTGCAGAACCGTATTCGGTTTGCCGATATGAGTACAAGTGTATATGCCCGTCGCGTATAATCATCGTATACGACACCGTGTGTGGTCGTCGTTTACGACAGTCGTATACAACGATCGCTTTTCGCCGTATACGGTCGTTTACAATCGTGGTATCTTGATCAGGGGGCTAATTGATGAAAATAATTTGTCACTACACATAGAAATTGTTAGCAGTTACCATTCTAGTCAGTGCTCTGCGCAATTTTCATCCGCAACCATGATACGTCTTTTAGAAGCATGATATTTGATATGTGACGTAATGTAATCTGAACATAGCAAAAAAGTGACGAACACTGCCCTGCTGTCACCTTTTTCTGCTGAATGACAGAAGTTTGCACACCTTTTATGTTGACTCTCACGGTTATCTTTCCGACTGTTATCACTCAAAATACAGTAAGAATGTGTAAGTAAGAACGCGAAGTATAACCACGCGAACTCCGATACAAAGCGCAGTGAGATAGAGCACGACGTTGAGATTTCTAACTCTTGCCATCACCGATAAATGGCTTGCAATGAAAGTATTGATTTCATTCCATCACAGTCATTGACCGATTGTACGTATTTTGTGAATGGAATTAACTGCAAGTATGGCGACAACTGTCGATTTCGCCATTGTCGTCAAGCGATTCAACAAAATGAGCAATGTTTGCGATGGCCTAACTTGTGCACTAATGTGAAATGTCGCTATCGACACCCTTCTGTTCTATCCAAAATATCGATGCCTCCGTATCTTTCTACATCGCGCTTTGCCACGACGTCTTTCTATTCGTATCCTCAGAAACAACAGCAAAAACCACAAGAGGAAATTGTCAGTATATTTTGGGATTTGGAAAACGTTCAAATACCGCGCTCGCAAAAGCCTTTTGACATTGTTCAGCGTATCCGTCAAATGCTCGTTGTTGGACCAGGATTGCAAGAAATAGGGTTCACTTGCTATTGTGACGTCACCACCATCTCGAAAACGAATCAAATCAGCCTCATGCATGCCAACGTGAGTATTACACACGTACCTGATCGGAAACCAGGTAGTGTCGATCGTCGGATTCTGCTGGATTTAGATCGTTTCGAGCGGAACCATCCACCACCGGCCACGATCGTGTTAATTTCGGGTGATATTGATTTTGTCGGCAAGTTAGGTGATCTTCGTCGTCAAGCGCATTATCATGTCATCGTTGTACACAATAAGCCGGCCAAAGAGGAGTTGAAAGCCACAGTTAACGCAGATTATAGTTGGGATATGTTTACCTCTAAAAATCAGCCTCTCGCCAGTCTTCAGGTTTCATCCTCACCGAGAGCTACGCGAAGCAATCGAACACGGTATTCTAATAGTTCTCAGTACAGAGCTCAATATCCAATATCTTCTGCACCCTCGAAAGCTAAAAGTCTGTTTAAATGTCCGCGATGTCCAAGTGAGTTTGAAACCGAAAATTCGCTTCAGCAGCATCAAGAAGCCAAACAACACTTATTTCACTGTTCATCATGCGATAACTGGTTCTTCACGTTTGCATCTCGTTTGCAACATCAGAAGGACAAGAGGCATCACCGAGCAAGAAAATATTCGTGTACTGACTGTAAAAAATCCTTTGGTACCCTGAACAGCCTCGAACAACATCAGAATGCCACTGGTCACGATGATGGGTTCTCTTCTTCTTCCGACTATTCCAGTACTGACTGCTAGGGCTTTTAATGCAATGCTCAGTATGGAAACTTTGGTACACCCGAAGAACATCTTGATAAGCATTGTTTTTAGCTATACTTCTGAGTTTTCTGAGGTTTGCGTCCATTTATCGTAATAATAGGGTTCAGACGATGTTTGAAGGGATGCTGGGAGGGTTTGGGAATCGGTCAATACTGTAATTAGTACTCCTAATAAACCATATTAATTGAATTCTAAAAATTTATTCAGCTTTGTCTTGTGCCAGTTATATGTAAGCCAAAAACTCGAAAGTCGTCTACTAAGAAAAATTTGCGCGGAAAAAAATAAGTTGAAAAATTTCGCTCAAGAAAAAACGTTTCTGTATTGTTGTTCGGTACTCTTCTACTACAAAATTATTCTCATTCTCTTAACATAATTTCTGACAATGATCCTAGTTCAAGCCTGACTTTATTATTGAATAAGATTTCGATTACATGTACATCTATTTCATGACAGGTTTTCACATTCACATGAATGCTGACGCTGATCGATTTTTCCCTTATATGTAAAAATTATGAGAAGAATGATGCAGTGTATCAGTGAGAGCATGGTGCTCATTGCCAGTAGTCAATTAGGCAGACAAGTGATTGGCGGAAAGTACTGCAGTCGTTTACTTCAAGACGGTTCTTCGGATAATTGCTCGCTTGGCAAGTTATATACCAGTCTCGGTGTAATAGCCTGAAGTAAAGGTCATTACCACGCGAGCCTTCAGCGGTCGCAAAAATCATACGAGATCCGTAGTCGATGTTCCTGATGCAACTATTTAAAAACTTGCCTTTTTTTGAAAGTACTTATCAAGTATGCATGCACTGGTTTATTTGCTCTATCTAGCTGACTAGAAACATCTATAGAGCGATGCGTTTACGGATAATATCTCAACAGAGGTTCGCGGTGTAAAAAAAAGCTTAATACAATCATCCGCGTTTGACTGCTAGCTTGCGCATCTGATTTCTTGTGGCATTCTTGCACCAATCGAACTGTCAACTATCTCTTCTTGGTATGTTCCTATTAGATAAGCGGTTACTGCTCTCTTAGTAGCAGAGGCTGACAGTGCGCGGTACCAATTACGCATTTGCATAAGTGCCATGATATAATATATAATCATGCTGGAAGCCTCACATGAATCCAGTGGAAAACATTTGATTGTTGGGACAAAGTACATTGGCTCTCTGTATAAGCATACGGTTTGTCATACGTATTTAGCTTTGCATCAACATGAAGGAACGGGGTCGATAAGAGGCAAAGTCGGCTCCCTCTCAGATAAATCTCATATCCTCAAGTTTCGGATCCAAGCTTTTCTCTCGTTAGATGAACTTTCCTTATAGTATTTTCCTCATTTCTTCTCTCTTACTAAAAGTAAATCTCAACTACTATATGCCATTCCATAGAGAATTTCACAACCTATAAAATGATATATAAAATATTCAGGAAAAAATACTAGATAGTCTAGGATCGGAAATACTTGGTAGCATCTCAGGAAAACCGATAGGTCAACGTTGTTCAGGTTTATACTATCCATTTACTTTTACGTTAACCACTTCACTTCACTTCATATACCTTTCGATAGAGAATTTCACGGGCTACAAAGTGAGCTATAACGTTAACGCATCATTTTGAAAGTGTGCCTTTGTAAATATATTCGGCAAGTACTTGAATTATCCGTTCTTGCTTGTGCAATCGACTCGATGTTATCAGTAGTAATTTTTTTTTATTAATCAATTTAAAAGCATTAGCCAACTATTTTTCTTTTTTTTCAAAACACTGAATTGTGCAAATTACAATTATGTCTTACAATATATAAGTCTGTTTAACCCGTGATTTGCCACCACTAACGTAAAAGATGTCATCATTTTTCTTTAAACTATAAATTCTATTAATAATCAAGATTTTCAGCTGGATTTCTTAGTAGAAGGAGGACATCTCAAGTTGCACCACGCATCTTTATAAAGCTGACTAAAATAAAAATTTTGTAAATAATTTCATCACTTTAAAATACTGTTGTAAGCTGTTATCGTTGAGTAAGAAACAAATTTGTGATGAAAATGTCAATTGAATATGCAACAATAATATCTTCTAGAATCTTCAAATAAACAGAGCCATCATTTAGCGTGAAAGAACTTTATTCAAAGCAAACATGACTCATTAAAAACTATATCATCGATCAGAAGTCTAGAAGGTGAAACTCCAAATGATTTACAAGAATTATCGACCATGGTAAAACCGTTTAATAAGTGTTTTAGAAGAAATATGAAAAAAGTAAATGACTGAAATTCGAAGAAAATAAGTTATAGATTGTAGAAGTTGTTAAGGCCGACCTCCCCCTCAAAAATCGATCTCAGCCCTGGTCAATACAAATGGGCTGAAATTTGGAGCATATGCTGGGGCTGAAGTGCGAAGGCTGTGGTAAAATTTTCAGCTCGATACCTTGACATTTGACAGAGATATGAGCAAAACACGGGTCAAAAAAGGTCATCTTATCTCCAAAAAATCTGCCATGGCAAAAAAAAAAGCCATGGCAACTCGTCATTGAATTTTATTGTGTCTTTTATTGTCCTTGCCAGGCAGGTTTCTTGACTTCTGCTGCCTTCAGATACAAGCGATGACTCATGTAATTTTTTCTTTATGAGGCAGTGCACGATAGAGACGAACGAAGTTGCTCAATGCACTGTCACAGATTTTTCTCAAATTATCAGAGCAGATAGAGAAATGTGTCCTGAACATTTTTGTCTCTTGACATTTTTTTCCAAAATGCTTTCCCTTGCCGCTAGAGTG